CGGCCGGCCCAGGTTGATGACCCTGGTGCTCTGGCTGCTGTTCAGGAAGTGCAGCTGGAGGGTTATCAGCCTCGTGAGCCGCCGGCAGCGCAAGGCCTGCCGCACGCAGGAGTCCTAGCCCAGAAAGACAAAGCCAACGTTTAGAAGCGCCATTCTGTAAAAAAGCAGGACGTGTTCCTGTCCTGAGACAACGCTACAGGCTCCCAAGTTGTCTCCTTTTATCTTTCAGATCACAGCATGTGCTAACACTGACAACACTGCGGTAGTTTAACATGAAGTGTCTCAGCTCTCATTATACTGCTCCCTTCCTGTTTGCCTTTCGAGTCAAGCATTTAAGCTTGTGATTGCTCCTCTTCAAGATTAGGGGACCCACATGTAATCCCTGATGCTAAAGGCTGAGCAGGGACCAGCGCACAGACACCTCTTTGGTGTAACAGACTCGTGGGGCCTGCCGGGACCCCGCGGAACTGCGGGTGCACGAGGGCTTCCTTTGCTCGGGTTCTGCAGAATCCCCCCCGTGGAACCCCCTTGGAGCAGCTTCATCACCTCTCCCGCTTCGGTTCAGCCTGAGGGCTCTCAATGCTATACAGAAGTCATACATTCCATCTCATTTTACCTTAGAATAACTTTCTGCTGCATCAATAAAGAGAGTCAGAGCTTTCATCAGCAGCTTCTTTAAATTTGCTACGTCTTGAAGAGACTCCTCTGAAAAACAAAATTAAAAACTTGAGTCAAATAATCATCATGTATACACACGCCAAAATAAGCTACACACATACTTCCTGGTGCCTAGTCAGTAGCTGCTATTGCTTCAGCAAGGAGCAAGAGACTAAATTGGTTTCTTGTATATAAAAGCACTGAATAAAAAGAAGCAGCAGAAATACCCATTCTTTTATGGACCAAAGCTATTGCAAGAGACTTAATCAAGTGACTGAGGAACTGGAAAGAAATGCAAATCATTCACTTGTAGCAGATACAAGCACTGTTATCAGCTACGTTCGGAAATGCACCTTGCTGAGGTCCAATCCCAGGGCCACTCACTCCTTCCAGAGAGTGGAAAGGGAATAGATGTCACCAGGACCACGCCACAGCCAAAACTGCACTTACCCATCACAGCTTCCTCCTTACACAATCACATAACGCGCAACATAAAAGGATAATTTCATACTTCAGGAGTCAGTAGCGTTGTGCTGACAACAGCACAGCAGCAACCTGATAGATTAAAAAAAGCACAAATGAACTCGTATTTCTTGTTCTTGCCACTCACCCCACGGCTGGGACTCGATGAGTTTAAGCTGAGTGCGAGCAGCAGCCTCGTGGTTCTCCCCTATTTCTCGGCACATGCTGAAGCACAGGGCTATCATGTTGTGCTTCTCGCTGTCGCCCGGGCGGCAGCGCTTGATGTAGTCCAGCAGAGCCGTCTTCAGGGTCCCGCTCTGCTCGGAGGGAGGAATAGCAGGTTAAACATGTGAAGAGCCTCTCCTTTAGTCATATTTTACCGCTCACAAGCAAATCTATTCTGGTACAATTTTCCAAAAAGTGATTATTATACTACTATAGGTTTCTTCACGTTATTTTTAAACATAATGGGAGTATTATATTTGGCAATATAGCTGGGGACTACATTATGTCAAATAAGAAAACCCAGTAGCTATATATTTATTAGTTTACATTAAAATATCAAAATTAAATTATTTTTGTGGCAAGAAAGTTATAAATATTTGCTATTTTATAATTTCTAAAAATGCTGGAGAAATCCCCAAATAGCTGCAAGTAGAACCAAAACAGGCCATGAAAACAGCACGCGTCATCGCGGAGCTGGGCCCGTTCTCGCTGCAGTACTGACATGAGTCAGATCAAACACGTTCAACCAACACCAGAAGAAAATC